TCGACAGAATTCTTCGGGATTATATGATACTCGCAGTGGTATGCATTAATTGCTGCGGATTAATTTCGATGATTATGTAAACACGTGACGTGACTTCACTCGGAATTTGTTGTATTATCTTTGATTGAAGGCCTGCTTTCGTTTTTCAATTCGATTGAATCGAATATGAGCGTACACCTGTGGAACGTAGGTCATGATTTTGAACGTGCAGTTAGGGGAGAGAGAGGTTCACATATAGATATCTGCAATATCTTAGCGTTTAAAGGGATACTTGTCTCTTTAGAAACTTGACAATCTTGCTAGTTTCTGTTTCGAATATAAAGATCCTTAACCCTTAAACATTTACATCTTGTGATAAATTACTGTTTCGTTTCCCGAGCTTTCGCTCCTACTACAAAGATCCCTACTCCAAAATCCACACCTTCATTCATTTCAGAAATCTGAATCGTGCGAACGGGATTCTCCACTTCTCGTCTTCACGATTCCTCGTTGCACACCACGCTTCATTATGAACGGCATCCGTCTTCGTCCGCGTCGCCTAACACGTTCTCTACAGCGGCTAACAAATCACGTCCTCAAATTAACAACAAGCAGCAGTTAGTGTTGCCATGTCGGCAAAGGCAGCCGACGTGGAACCGGAAACTCATAGAACCAAGACCAACTCTCGAAAATAGCAATTAGGACAGGCACAAAGATCCCTTGGCCTGTCAAACGAGCCATCGAAGCAAAATCAGCCGCCCTCCGGTTGTCCAAGCGCCGTGTGCGGCACAGTTTCACGAGGCGCGCACAGCCAATCGAAAATTCGGAGGACCAATTACACGTCAGCAAGACGTACACACCAGCTGATGGAGCAACGACGATCATGAGTGTTCGCCACATCTGTATCCGCTACAAAATCATCGGATTACAATGCTCGGATGAATTGTAATTACATAGCGTATTCACGAGTAGAACGGGGTGACAGTTGGAGGCGTGGTGTGAACGCGGCTTGAACGTTAGGTGTGGAGAGAGTCGACAGAGGGGAGGAGAGGTCGTCTTAACAGCCCCAGAGACACGGGCTGGCACATAGAATAATAGGGTTCGTCGGTGGTGCCTAGGTTAGTCCCTGTTAGCAAGACCGAAGGTGCACAATGTATGCAAACACCGTCGCGCCACGGGATTCTCGAATTAATGCGCCTGGTCCAATAGGACGCGCTTCTCTCTCTCTCTCTCTCTCTCTCTCCCTCTCTCTCTCCCTGTCTCTCATTCTTCAGTTGATTTTCACGAATACCGTCTTGAAAACCAACGGTCATTTTTTCCCGCGAGAAATTTAATCATCTGTGACCAATGAAATTTTTGTGTCATTGCGAATTTTGGAATATCGTGAACGTGGACTACTCGTTTCCCTTCAACCTCTCTTGTGCAGCATCTAGATTTCTCTGTTAGTTATAGTAAATAAAGAGAAAATAAATTTTATACTAAGTTTGCTGCTGGTGCTGAATCATTTCAATTCTTCAGTTTAGTTAATGAACTAGTTATCTGGGAATAAATAGCGTAATAATTTATGAATGTGAAAAAAAATTGCACTTACCTGGGTAAGATCCCACTTGTACGTGTAGTTTAATCTACAAATCGAGCATTAATTTATACGTTTCATTGAGCAAACTTTTCGCTTCTTTGGTGAATACATTGTCAGGCAAAGTGTGAGATCAGTTGCAGTCAAATAGTTTTGTCGTTCGATGAAAATTTAGTCAATTTAATACTAATTAGAAAGATTAAAGTTAAAAAATTGTCCTCGGTATTACAGATATTAACCTTTCTGGGAACAAGTTTTTATTAGAACCTGAAAATGTAATTCTTCGCCAGTGTAATCAAAAATTGTACGTTTTGAAATCTATTTTAGAACGAATAGATGAGAAAATATTTTGAAACACGCGCACTATTGATCAGAAGCTTGAAATCATTTCTTCAATCGTGTACACTGAATTTCCATCCAATTTTGTTATTTATCCAAAATTAATATTGCATTGTAGATAACGCACAGCGATTCTAAACTCTTGATCTGTAATACACGTGTCCAATGATTCTATATGATTCTTGTATCTTCCAGAATCACGTTTGAATGAAACACAAACTAAATACGTGCACGTATCCGTCAAGAGATTAAACGATCGATATCAATACGTGCGCGGATTGATTACGCAGATTGATTACACGTATATGCATAATTCAGATCTCGTACTTTTGCCTTAACAATGCACATCACAGCGAGCAAGAAACAAAGGTGGAGTATCCGCGAAACAAATCGTAAAAATCAACAAGACAAATGGCAAAATGAAATTTATATTGAAGAAGCGGTATAATACACAAAACATATCGGCTTAACATTCACTTACAAGTGACGACAAAGCCAGCGAAAAATTAATCGAGCAAACGATACATCGAGCTTCGAGTTTAAAACGAAAAATAAGGGAAACGAAGGCTTACACGGTTTAATAATAAAACAAACTATGTCGTTAAACTGAACTGATCTGAAGCAAGAGTATAATAATTAGACTGTGAATTTTTATGCATTTATTGAAACTCGCAAAAATGTAACTCACGTTGACACATGTAATAATATGTAAAAATATATTAAATATCCAAAGTGGTATATTTATCGTAAAGTATAAATTGTTTAATGCAGCAGTGATGTAATCAAAAAATTCAATTTCCGAATAATGAATAATGAAGCACGAAACGAACAAACAAATGCAATAATATTAAAGAATGTTACATCTCTTTCAGATGAATCATTTTAAAGTTATACTTATACCATTATTACACAAAATAGAATGAATATTAACCCTAGGATTCCTGAGCTTCGAGTTGTTAATTCACGATAGATATACCCTGTTTATTTTTCCCAATGTACCATATTTCTCACATACAGTAACGAGAACTTTTGATTAACAAACTTAAACAACAATAAACCAGGTTTTAACGATTCTCAGCAACAGGAAAATAACTTTAATTTAATATTATCAAGCTTGTTTGAGAAATTATCCAAACTTACTTTGGAAATTCAATTTCACATTAAACTTGCACCACTTTCACATTAAACGATTCATGTATTGCATGAAACAATTTCCATTTCATCCAGTTACGTGGATAAAAATTCGCAGTCTCTGATAACAGCGTATCAACGTAAAAGATTAGAAGATTATACTGAAACTGAGAAGTTAATCGTCGACGGAAATTCCAACCAGAGTTCGAATCGTCGTTCGATACGGTCGTGAGACGATATTCGACGGTATTCGGGTTGATTCCCTTATCAAATTTTCATGGGACTTTCACCTTTCGTGGATGCATACGGTGTGCTAAGATTTCTTTCACATCCGGAATCGAGAACACTGGCCAGCGAGAGGAAACGCGGACACGCGATTCGACTCACGTGCGACCGAAATTTCAGCCGCTCGTTCGGCCACGTTCTCTCCTCTCTTAATCGAGAAGATAAAGAGGGTAGGGAAAGGTTCGGATGGGACGACCAAGTGGACGAAGGCTGGTTTCTGTAAAACAGACGAAACGTATTCTCTTTATTTCGTATGCCATCGGGTATTTATCTTACGTGACCGAACAATCCTCCCCCACCCCCACCCCCTCCCCCGCACTTAATACGTGACTTTTTTAGCGAATGAAATTCGGACATCGGTGACTAATCCAACTAGGGCCAGGCGGTTTCGCCTATTTACAATAGATCTTTGTACAAAAACTAATCTCATATAAACAGTAAAACGCACGATTCCAAAACTCTCGCGTACGTGCGTGAACCAGAACGAAGATCGTTCTCGGGATATCCGTTTCCTCGTCAAAGCCTTTGCACACGTCGCCACGCACCCATTGGCATTCAGACTCCACGAAATCCGCGTCAGTCTCAATTTATTTCCACGTTACCGATTTCCCTCAGTTTGTCGCGTGACACAGGGATCGAAAGAAATTATGGAACATTTTCAATAGGTTCTACTTGAAACACTGATCGTCGAATATTTTTAAGAAACGTTTCTATATTAAAAAAAAAAAAAATTAAATTAAAACAATAAAAACAAATGAACAAAGAGATAGGGTTGATTCAACAGAACAGAGTTTTCTAGTTTCACGTTGTTAAAAGAGGTGGTGGAACGAGTAAACCGGTGGTGAAATCGTACGAACGATTCTGCTTTTCATTGTTGGATGAAATTCGCTGAAGGCTTGGAAAAAACGAACTGTGTTCATTAACTAAGACGAGATTCTGAACGATTCCTGTATCGATACATAGTTGTTTCTGATTCGCCGATACGTTATAACGTGTACCGCGAAACTTAAGTGCCGATGTATGCATGGCAACGTGTTCCAACGCATACAGAAGGACCGTGTGCGTCGTGTTCGGTGAATTCAACCATGCTGGCCGCTCGTCAAATTGGACTTGGGCTCTTATCGAGCTCCGTTTCCCTCGTACTCTTCGCTACTCTTCTGTCCTCGTTTTATTCGCGAACGTAGCCAAACTCTATTATAAAAATCTGCAGGTAGAAAAAGAATGCACGATTCGATAGGTGGATCCTATCACGATCCGATACACACGCACACACACATCAAGCACAGAGTTCCTGTCTAATCATCGACGTTTCATTAACCCGGGCGAGTAACTGGATATCCACTTGTCGAATCTCATCGTGCACGCGACTAAAAATCGCAGATCTGTCCCGGATGCGAGTCCTCGTCCCGGTCACGACCGTCTCGGAATTTTCACGTCGGTTTTTCTTTCTCTCTCTTCCCTTTTCTCTTTTGTACAGCGAATTGTTCAGCAATGTTTCGTGAAGACGCTTGGAATTTCGCACGTCGATCGCAGGAAGACGCAACGCTGCGACAGACACGAGGGCTCGCGAGAATTTCAACTCCGTTCGACTCACGGATCCGTTTCGCGCACTTCGTAACTAGTTCCTTCGCACTCGGAGTCACTCGGAGTTCCTAGAGTCTTTCGTCGCGAGAGTTTTTCGTCGCGAGTTTTATATACAACTCTCTTGTATTCGATTCGAGCGTGTGACCACTTCCGGCTGATGGAACTTGCCCTGCGCGGAAACCGACGAGGAGACCGGCCTCTGCGGCATCGACGACAACCCTTTGCCTGACCTCTGGAGACTGTAGTACATCTGCAATCAATCGAACACGGTTCTTCGTTTTCGAGCGGTAAATTCTAGCCGATCATTGATATTTATTGTATAGTCATCATCCCGCATCGGATCTACTCGGAAATACAGATTAATACAGATTAACCCTCTGCTGTCAAAGCACTTAGTAAACCTGAAGGTGGAATTTATGAGATTCGTTTCAATTAATTTATATAAAATATATAATAAATATATAATATATAAAATATATAAAATGTATAATAAATGAAAAATATAAAATAATATATAAAAATATATAAAATATATAATAAATGAAAAAAACATTTCTGACAATTCTTTTTACTCTGACTTACATTTATCACACAATTTTCTAATAATTATAACAGAATGAGACGACGAGTTGTAGCGTTTTTATTTTAAGTTGTATTAATGTGTCGTTAAAGCGGAGTCTCTGAGATTCCACCCTTATAAAGGTTGTAAAACTCGCTGTTAAGCAAAAATTAATATAAAATGTCTCTCCAGCGTGTAAAAAAATTTTCCAGTTCTTCAATGACGAATGAACTCGTCATCTCCGGTTCAGGTAATCTTCTATTTTTTTGGACCTTCGAATATGATTATAAGAAACGGAGGTTTTATTCGTGTATTTGTTACTTCGGTGCTCTTCTGTCACATTTTCTCTTCCGATATTATGTAAACTTTATATAAAGTTACTGTGTGTAAAGACGCACAAACACGTAACTCGTAGAAAGAAAATTAGTTGAGTGATATACCACAAAAGCGTGTGGTATAATACTAAACGATTATCACTGTAAATAAATATTTAATAAGATGCAGATAATATGTAATATAAGTAACGAGGATGTGCATAAATATTAGAAACAACAGAAATTATTTATGAACTCGAAACTAAAAATCTTATATTGGGCAAAATAAACAAATATACCTGAACGTATAATGAAAAAATTAAATACCATTTCGTATTTAAAAAATTTAAACGCACGTTTTAATGAAATTGAACGAAAACCATTATTTAAAGTAGGAAGACAGCATGTTTTTCATACGAGTAATAATTATGTAATTACGAGTCCGAATGGTAATTTAGTTTGGCAGAAATTAGCGCTTAATCGGTTCACGATGCCGGGGAGAGAGAGATTAATTATCTCCTTCAACACTTTCCGAAGGATGTAAACATTCTCTGAAACTGAGTTTTAGTTAACTGCGTCGAGAACGTAAAACGTTAAACGCTTTAACGGGAGGTTAGCCGGCGCGTCTTTAGAAACTTTTCTGAAAGGTAAATGTGCTTTTTCTAACTTGTTTTTTCAATGTTAATTGAGTTTGCACGTTTCCATATTGCAGCGACGCGCTCTATTTTCTTTTAATATATCAAAGCCATTCCGGGCCGGCGTTGAAATTGAAAGTAAATGAATTTAATTTTTATAAATTGCTACCTAATAAGCGTATCGCGGTCTTTTTACAAGAAAACACGCTCTTTACATTTCTGTGAGATTATAATATTTAATTGTAGCATAGGCATACTGCAATACACAGGGTGAGCCAAAAACAAAGCTTTATCTTCCCGTTTCGATATCTGTTTGATATTGAGTTAAAAAATATTTTTATTGTTTTTCAATTATAAAGATTTTATTTCGACCGATAGACAAATTTCGGTAAAATTTATGCCATTGCCAAGTAACAATTGAGGCGTATTACGTTCCGTAATATATGAGGGAAAATAAAATATTCGTGTAGAAAATATACGTAATTAATTAAAGGACTGATTAAACGAAAGATTTTCTCCAAACACAACATGAAAACTAAATGGTAACTCACTACGATCTCACTTTGTACGATAAATACGACTTTTTGTCCTAAATAATAACTGAATTCCGAGTAATTTTACAGGTTTGTAAAATTAGTCACTTCGTGTGCAACAATTCAACGCTTGTCAGTAAACAGGTGCAGACAAATAATTGCATACACTTGCACATATCGATGAATCGTGTCTTAAATGCAAATCAATCAATTATATTAACTGTGTAATAAATTGCTTGAATGAAATATTAATTCGTGCCTGATTAATCCATCAAAGGCCGACGTTGCGTTAACTTTTCATTTACAACTCTTTCAGCTGGATTCAGATTATCAAATTCTGTTCTTTTTTTTTTTTTTTTTTTTTTTTTTAGCATCGCGACAGCGAAAAGGAATCACTGATCGTTAATAAATTATTTCACTTGTTGAATTCATCTATCTGGACGTGAATCGCTACACGAAGCACAACAAGTAATAATAAATAAATAAATGGAGAGAACTATATGAACTTTATTATATAAAATAAGGTATTTTGTTCTCCGACAATTTAACGCGGATAGATTTGTACCGTACATTTTATTAATCTACACAATCACGTGTCGTATCAGCCAATGAATTACTCCCATCGTTTGTAATTATACTTACAATCTGACAAATTCACTTGAAAATTCCAATTCCTCGATACACGAGCCACATTAACAATATGGGATTTTACATTTACCGCGAGCGTGCAATTCAGCGAACGCTTAAAACCGAATTGTTCGCGCAAAAATCGCGAACGCGTTACGCCGGGACGCGCGCAGCGATCGATATTGCAATCTATATATCGTATCCCAGAAGCTGCATAAACTGTTCGCTCGGAAAATAACCGAAACTTCCGATTTACGATACGGCGCGAAACGCGCGCGCGGGGGAAGGGGAGGGGGGGGGAGAGCCAGCAGCGAGAAAGAGGGAAAAAGGAGAATGGTAAATGCAAATGCATCGATACTTGTGAAAATTGCAAATTCGGGGTCGGAATTAATAATGGAACAGCCGAGCGAGCGAGGCGCGGCAAACGACGTCGAAAATAATCGAAAACCGCGCGGCCGTTGGGTTACGTAATTCCGAGGAAAACAAAAACAGCGGGAAACGAGAACGTCCGGGAGGAATATCCAGAGATGGGATCGAGCACGTCAGTGTAAGTAAGTTCGAACTTTTAGTTATTGAATTCGAAGCCGAGTTACAGGCACTTGCAGTGGCAACTTCCAAGTGTGCTCGACGTATCGGTGCACGTCTGTTAAAATTCATAAGTACCATATAATCATCGAAACCAGCTCGAGACTACTTTGTAATAATAATAGAATTCCAGTCTCTTCAACTCTGAGCACTGTTCGCCAAAGTTTCGAATCTTGCAAACGTCAAGAGCTGCGAAAACAGCTTGTACAAAACGAATATACGTATATATGTTTATTCATTGAGCACGGTTTAGAAAGGCGTGTTCATTGAACAAAGTGTCGAAACGAATATAATGAATGAATGGTGCATCGTACGTTATGCACGTAAGACGAATACGAGCGCGAGTGCGCTCGTTGAAACAGTTTTACTTTCGAGCACAATGCGTCGGAGAAGACGACGAAGCGAAACTTAAACTTGCCGAACTTGACTCGGATTCGTAAGTACATATTGGACTTGATCCCATTCCTAGGAGTATCTGATTCGGTTAATGAAGAGAACGACCGGGTAACGGTGCCGACTCGGCTGTCGAGGACGGACGAGTTGAGCCGGCATTAAAATTATTCAGACACTCGAATGCGGGAGAAGGCGAGCCAACGTCGAAGAGAAACGGAAGTCGAGCCGAAGACCGAGTTACGCGCATCGGGACTGGCCCTCTCGAATTATCGAGGAAACTTCGACGTAATTAAACCGACGGAAGCGCAGATAACCCAAGGCTTTGCTAAACCGGAAAAGTTAAAGTAGAAGACCGCCGCATATTAAAGCGACGCGATCCCTCTTCTTGGCTCGCGTCCCAGCCTCCAGCTTCGCGGTCGTCCCCATCTCCCTCCCGAAACTTCGAATATTTAAAACAACCATGTCGGTTCGGTTACGCGAGACCGTACGAAAGAGAAAACGAGGCAAAGGGAGAGGAAATATTGGTCGTGATAAAGAAAAGGAATCCTCCGCGTCAACGAGGCAGGATCGA